GCTATCTCGCTTATTACTGGACCGAATTTTACCACATTTCACACATATAACAAGCATAGTAAGGAGTCTTGAAATCCGCAATCAAATTTGAGAAAAAAGTTTCGTTTCCATGGATACGCCGCCATATTGGATTTTATTGACATGTCTTACGTAATGAATACCGCACTTATCGCTAATGGAAATCGATTGTTTTTTTGCATGCGTGTTTACAAACATTAGATCTAAAATTTTGTCTGTTGTTTTTTTCCTAATCGAATTACAAAATTTTTAATGAATTTTTTCGTGAGGTAGCATTCAAGTTTGCGAAAAATCCGTGAAAATCCACACTCCAGACACCACCAACAAAAATCTATTCCATATATCAAAAATTCAACAGAAAAATTTTTAGTATTACCTCTTCTCTTCATTCTGTGAAAGTTTCATGAAGATTAGATAAAAATGGTGGAGTTATTCAAAAAAGTATAGAGAAAAGTAGCATTTTGAGAAAACGGCCGATAAAGAAAAATAAAATACTGACTTTATGAGGAAATGGCAGTTACAAACATGTCCGGTATGGGAAAAAATACGATTTTTGGGGGTTCTCATGCCATGAAATAGTTGTAGGAGAGGCTGAGGAAGCTAAAAATGCCTACAACTCAACTCAAATTCCATGATTTTGAGCCGAATTTTGATTTTGGGGGTGTAGCCCCCCCCTAACAAAATAAAATAATCTCTGAACAAATCAGATCGCATCGAAAAAACTGTATTTTCCACCTTGTGAAAGGCATCATGAGCATAATACATGGAAAATGAAAACATGGACATCCAATAAAACACGCATTACATTTCGGCACAACCTCACACTTTTTCATTCATGGTATGTTATGGATAAATTATGTTATCGCACATGTAAATGTAAACGTAATGTAAATATTCTGGGCCTTCATCTGCACAATTTAGATCATTTAGGAGACCAGCTGGTTTGATCCTGGCTGACACAGCAAACCCAAGGTTTGAGGGATACGTTTCATTGTAAAATAAATCTCCATTCGAGAGTCTCACTCACGCTCGTCCGTCTTCTCCATTCAAGGAGAAAGAGCCCACCTATATAAACATCAAACACACCAAGGGTATACTGCTGCCAGATCTAGTGATAATGGAGTCTTGATTTCTTTTTTTAAATTTGATCAAATCCTGCAGCAGAAGAAAAAATCGGTTTACAATTTCCCAAAAGGCACAGGGCGGGGTGGAGGGTATGTAAATATATATTGACAGACAATTATTTTGAACGAAAATGAGAGTTATTTAGTGTATTTATAAAGTTCAAACGTATACATTTTGTGTGCAATTAAACAGTTGGAGAAAGAGGGAGAGGGAGAGAGCGAGAGAGAGAGAGCGAGAGAGAGAGAGAGAGAGAGAGAGAGAGAGAGAGAGAGAGAGAGAGAGAATGAGAGAGAGAGAGATTCAGAGACAGACAGAAGGGTGATAAGAAGAAGAAGAAGAAGAAGAAGAAGAAGAAGAAGAAGAAGAAGAAGAAGAAGAAGAAGAAGAAGAAGAAGAAGAAGAAGAGGAAGAAGAAGAAGAAGAAGAAGAAGAAGAAGAAGAAGAAGAAGAAGAAGAAGA